AACCTCAAGTGATCTGCCCACCTTGGTCTCCCAAAGTCCTGGGATTACAGGCATGAGCCACCTTGCCTGGCCTTATTACTGAGTTTTAAGAAAATGTTGGGAGGCCTAGGCAGGTGGATCACGAGGTCAGGAGATCAAGACCGTCCTGGTCAGCATGGTGAAACCCCGTCTCTACTAAAAATACAAAAAATTCGCTGGGCATGGTGGCGCGTGCCTGTGATCCCAGCTACTCAGGAGGCTGAGGCAGGAGAACTGCCTGAACCCAGGAGGTGGAGGTTGCGATGAGCTGAGATCGCGCCATTGCACTCCAGCCTGGGTAACAACAGTGAAACTCCGTCTCAAAAAAAAAAAAAAAAAAGTTGGATATTTTGCTTACCAGTCCTTTATCAGATATGTGTTTTGGAAATATTTCCTGCCAGTCTGTGGCTTGTCTTCTCATTCTCTTAAGAGTGTCTTTTTCAGAACAGAACTTTGTAATTTTAATGATGTTTCACTTAATGGAACTTTCTTATCTAATCATGTTTTTGGTGCTATATCTAGAGAGTCATCACCAAGCCAACGAAATCAAGACTTCCTCCTCTGTTATCTTTTAGGAATTTTAGTTTTGCATTTTCTATTTAGGTCTATATTCCATTTGGGGTTGATTTTTGTGAAAGTTACAAGGTATTTGTCTAGATTTGTTTATTTTTAAAATTTTGTGTGTGTGCGTGTTCAGTTTTTCCAGCCCTGTTTGTTATAAGCTGTATCCTTTCTCCATTGACTCGTATCGTTCCTTTGTCAATGATCAGTTACTGTATTTGTGCGGATCTATTTCTGTCCTGTAATTCTATAGTCTCTTCTTCCACCAGTACCACATTGCTTTGATTATTGCAGCTTTCTAGGAATTCTTGAAGTTGGGTAGTGCCAGTCCTCCAACTTTGTTCTTTGTCTCACTTAGTACTTTTGCTTTGAAATCAATGAAATAATAGTAAATGAACAACCTCTTCTTTTTACTTGTATTTGCCTAATATACTTTCACTGATACTTTTATTTTTAATCATTATACACAGCATAATGTTGGGTTTTGCTTTGGGGTACAATTTGTAAGCCTTTTTCTGTTATTAGAAATGTTTTTCCCATTTACATTTGTTGACATGTCTCATGCCATTTGTATATGTCACTATATTTAACATTATAATTTTGAGCATTACCTTTATTATTTAAGTGTTTGTTTTTATATTTATTTGTATTTTAGGTTTTACACATCTTTATTATCTAATAGGCATTGCCAGGTCTCTCTCCAAAGTAAGTTTACTACTTTACATTTCTACCAGCATTATATATGCATTTCTAGTACTTCATATCTTTGCCAGTGTTAATTGTTGTCAAATTTTAAATTTTTGTCCAGGTGGTGAGTGTGACATTGTATCTGATTTGTGTTGATCTTATTTCTAGCAAGAATTAGAATCTTTCTATATTGTTAATGGCTGTTGGGTTTTCTCTTTTGTCCATTTGCTGTTCATTAACTTCGCCTAGTTTTTAAAAATTCTTTACTGTTTTCTTAATGATTCATAAGAGTTCCTTTTATATTGTGGATTGTCATCCTCTGTTTTATCTTTGGAAAATATCTCTTCCCAGTTTGTGGCTTTAAGAAAAAGTTTTAAGTCTTTTTTGTGTTAGAGAAGTTTTCAGTTTCAGTGAGTATGGTAAACTAATTTTTCTTTTCCTTTATTAGTAGTGTTTTTCTGTGTGTTTCGTGTTAAAGAAATATCCTAGAATTAGAAAAACTTCCCCTTTATTTTCTTCCAAAAGTTTGCTTTTTATATCTAAGTGTTTAATTCATCTGGAGTGGGTGTGCCTATGTGCACATGCCTGTACCTATATCTGAGGGGGAGTGAGTTTATGTGAGTTTGATGAAGAAAGAATTTTGTTTTGCTTTTCTACGGTATAACTTATTGTTCGATAACTGTTTATTGAATAATTTCTCATTTTATTATTGACATTTTTTGTCTAGAATATATTTTAGAACCATCTTACTGTCCATATGTATCCTATAACATCATGTTATAAACCTCAAAAATACATAATAAAAATCTATTTTTTTAAATATATATTAGTGTATTTATGATATAATTTAAAAATACTTTTTATAATGGAAGTTTTTTTTTCTGAAAGTAGGCAAAATAACAGTGAACACCCATGTACCTATTTCCCATCCCAGACCACCACCAATGCTGGGCGGATTCTAGCCTATACAATGCTTACCCATGCCATCTCTCTCATATTGATTTTGAAGGAAATTCTGGCCACTATAAGCTTAATATCAATGCTTTTAGGGATAAACTTTTCACATGCACTCTGACCTATTTCTGGATTCTCCTTCATTTGTACCTTAGACTATCCCAGTGCTAATAAAACACTACCTTAGTTACAATAGCTTCATAAGCCACATTAGCTATTAAAGTAATTTGCTTTTCCTCGTTCTTCAACATGTTTTAGCTATTCTTGGTCCTCAATTTTTCCACATTCCATATTGGCAAGAATCATTTTGCCAAATTCTATAATATCCTATTAGAATTTATGTTGTAATTGCTTTTAATTTATATTTTAAATGAGGGAGAATTGATATTCTTATGATTTTGAGTCTTTTCATCCATGGATATAGTTCAGCTTTCTAATTATTCAATTCTTCTTGCCTTTCAGTAATGTTTGGCAATCACTGACAAAAAGCCTTTTATAACTTGTTAGTTCAAATCTATGTCAGTTATAGTTTTTGTTGTTATGGGAAATTTTATATCTATCATTTGTCCTTTCAATTTAAAAATTTTATTATGGCATACTGCAATGCTAATAATTTTATGAGTGGTTTTTAAGATCCTGCAATCTTGCTAAACTTTCTTATTCATTCCAGTTGACTTTCCATAGATTCTTTTCAGTTTTCTATGAGGCACTGTATCACTCCTTTTCAATTACCATGCCTATTATTTCTTTTTCTTGCTATATTACTTGGTTAAGGCCTTCAGTCCAAGGTGGAATATGGGTAATGATAACAGCCATCCTTGCCTTATTTCTGATTTTAATGGAAATGCTTGGGTATTTTCATCATTACATATGATGCTTCCCTGCTTTAATAACTTCTATCAAATTAAAAGAGTTATTGTTTGTTACTAGCTATAAATCACTCTTTTTATTTATAATCATAAGTGAACATTCAATTTTAGTGAATGATTTTTCTGCCTCTATTTAGATGATAAGACAATTTTTCTTTAGTTAATATGCTATACAAATAGATTTTTATTGCTGGGACAAACTCTACTTTATTGTAATGAATTTGTTTAAGACAAACACTACTCAGTTTCATTTATCTGGGATTCTTTTCATCTGCATCCATCAGTGGGGCTGGTGAATATCTTTGAGGGTGGATATTTGGCAGCCCATTCTCAAATATTGTGATTAGGAATTAGAGATGTATCCTGGTTGTGTCAAAGATGGAATTTGCACTTGCCCATTTGTTTCCTCTTATTGCATTTGGGTAATTTCTGTGAACAGCCATTCTACTAGTGAAAACCCTATATTTATTTTTATCAGGTTTTGATATAAGTATTTCTCATAATGACAAAAGTGGTGTGAAACTTTTCTTAATGTTCTATGAGAGTTGAAATAGAATTAGAAGTATATGTTCTTTGAATATTTGAAATGATTTACGGGTGAAATGGTCTGTACCTGGCTCATTTATGAGGAGACTGTATTATGAGAGCTTCTTCAATTAGCTGAGTTTGTATATTATTGTGTTTGCATTTCCAACTCTTGGCAGAGTGCCTAGCTCAAATGAGGCACTTGATGTATGTTGTGGTTGGTTGACCAGAGGGCTGTAGCCCACCTTCAATCATAGGAACATCCTCACTCCACTTATTGTATTGCCTAAATTCCCCCAATTATATTTAGTTTGACCTGGAGTTTTAAAAAGCCATTGTCACCTGTGAAATTGTAACAGTTCATAAAATAGTAACATGCTGCGATTTATAAGTCATTTTTACCATCAATGTGAATGAATTGTTGAGATACTTTTCTGATTCTTGAAATTAGAATATAAATGAAGTGAGAAGGGATAGATTAGGGTGGTAATTGTGAAGAAGGTAGGGGAAGAAGAGAAGAGAGATAGAAAAAGAGAAAGAGAGAGAAGAGAAGGAGAAGGAGGAGAAAGAAGAGATGAGAGGAAGAAAATGCAGTACCTGTGGGGTCAAGGAAGGTTTTCTAAGAATTGGAGAAAGACCCAACGATGAAATCATCAAATACCAACTTTGCTAATTTCACAGTTTCACCCGAAATTAACCCTAATGCTATATGGCATGGATTTCTTGATTGGGTAAGACAAATATTTTCTCCAGGCATATTCCATTTTGGCCATTTTCTTTTTCCAAACGTCCTGCTGTTTCTGGTTTACAAAATCTCCATCATTCTATGCTTTGTGGTGACTAAGCATTTTTCCCCCACTGCCTTATTTTATTAGAGTCAGACTACTTAACTTTCCAGAGCATGATTTTTTTTTTTTTTTGAAATGGAGTTTCGCTCTTGTTGCCCAGGCTGGAATGCGATGGTGTGATCTCAGCTCACTGCAACCTCTGTCTCCCGGGTTGAAAGGATTCTCCTGCCTCAGCCTCCCAGGCGGCTGGGATTACAGGCGCCCACCACCACAGCCAGCTAATTTTTGTGTTTTTAGTAGAGGCGGGGTTTCACCGTGTTGGCCAGGCTGATCTCAAACTCCTGACCTCAGGTGATACATCTGCTTTGGCCTCCCAAAGTGCTGGGATTACAGGCGTGAGCCACTGCGCCCGGTCCAGAGAATGATTTTTTAAAGCCAGATTATGATAATTCTCAATGAAATTTTATCCTAAGTTGGAAGAATTTTAAAAGGAATATAACACTGGAATTTTTAAAGGTGTCCATCCTGCTGAACGAAATAAAGATACTGTTTTCATTTTATTGAGTTACTATTTCCATCAGGTTATTTTCTAAATAAAATGCTTTAACGTCTTTGATATTGTTAACTTTGGAAACACCATATAGTTATTTAAGGGACAGAGACTAGCAGTATTCCCAAGGAGATGACACTGAGAAATCTATCAACAGGGGAGTGAGCACCAGGATGGAGTGCTGTCTCCTCTCAGCTCTTGTGTGATATAAGCAGTGCATGAAGTCCTTACTACGATTGACCTCACAAATACACAGGGATTTGTTGGATTAGCCAGCTCACTGACAGCAGTGATGGCTCTAAGGAAACAGAACGCAGGAGAGGGTCTTCTTCACTAACCTCTTCACTAGCAAGACAGTCATTTACAATGAAAATTGGGTGAATACTAATTTGCCTTTGGTGTCCTTGTTGGAGCATCGGAGGACTGTATGGGTCATGACAAGAGAAAGTGAGCTGGAGTCAGAGGGAAGCTGCAGTGACTGAGTGATCTGGTGATCTGGCAAGGCGAGGTTTTGGATGGATCATGTGCCAGGCACCTACTATATGCACCTCCACGTCCCTGCTCCACCCTTCTCTCTGCTCTGCACCCTGAAGGGTAACCCACATGCCCCTATTGATGCGGCTTTTTACAGAGGCAGCACGAGAAGAGTGAGGTTGGGCTGCTGATTCCTCTGGCTCCATCCAGGGACCTTGGTTTGACTGCATCCCTCTGTCAAGGCCACAATTTTCTCTAGGTAGCTCTCATACTGTTGTAACATAATGGGATCCCTCATTATCCCTAACAGATTTCCCCACCCCCTTCCATGCCATCTATCTATCTGTCTATCTATCTATCTATCTATCTATCTCTGTTATCTATCATCTATGTAATTTGTCCACATATTATTTAGTTATCATTTATCTTTCATTGATCTGTGCATAATCTGTCTATCAACTATGTATCTCCCATTTTGCTCAGACCCTTTAAAATAGCTTCTTCCCTAAATTCTCTCAATTACTCCATTTGCGTTTAACATCTATAACATCTGACTGACAGTCATTGGTACCAGAAATGGCCCCAGAATACAAACCCTCTAAAAAGACTTCTGACGTTGGGTTGTTCCTGTAGTGGACAAGTATACAAATAACTTTGCAGGGAATGAAACCCTGGTAAGCTGTTCCACACGGTAGCATCAGTTTCTCGAATTGTCCTCAGTGGTGGCATGAGAGGAAGTGCAGGTGGAGGGACAAGGGATGGGATCAAAGGGCAATAGTCCCTGTTGCTTTGACAGCAACAGTGAGATAAGCATTGTGAGGTCAGCTGGCTGTTTCCAGTGACACTAGACATGGTATACAGAGAAAAGAAGAAATTGGAGGTTGTGAGGATTGTTATTATTGATTAGTTTTATTTGTGTTTTACTCAGAGCACACTCAGACAGTGAGAAAGCCTGGCAGCTTAGTGGGACCTCCTCACTTCCTACAGTCATGGGGCAGATATGGCTGAGCTCTGCCTGATGTATGGGCTGCAGGGCTGCAGTTTTGATTAAGGCATGGCTGCATGGCTCTCACTCTCAGGTAATGGCTAGGAGGGGAGGGGTGGGTGACTGAGGCGTGGAATGGGGCCATTTGGGCAGACATGGAAGAGGCTAAGAAGTTTAAACTCCATGCCTCTCTGAACTCAGGCCTTCAGGCAACTTCTCCATGTATATATGCCCTTCAGAAAATACACCTTGGGAATCTGCTCATAAATAGGTGCACATCTCCCCCTGATATAAGCCACTACCACCCTAATTGCCACCAGGCCCATAATGAGGTTAGATCCAACACAGCCCAGGTGGAGAAACACAAATCCTAGTTTTGGAGGAGACAGTCTATCTACCAAGAGAATTACAGGATCTTGCCAATGTACATCTGTTGGAGACTAGGGAGCATCATGGGATGTCTTCTAAGGGTATTAGACTAATGAAAATGAAATGGAAGGAGTGATTGGGCTGTATTTATTGATGTAGGTATAAACACTCAAGATCTGGAATGTAATGTGTTGGCTCTAGTCTACCAGGTTGGCTGAGTGAAGCCTGGACTCAGTGGTGATCTGGAGTCAAAGAGGCTCAAATTCTGGAATTTCTCTACCCAATGGCCCAGGAAAAATGGGGAAGTTAGAATGGGCCTATTAGATGCAACCTGCTTACCTACCTTCTAATCAGGTCTCTCTTCTCCTCTTCCTCCTTCTTTACCTCTTTCTGGTGGGGCCTGGAGGGCTCTCCCTTAACCAAAGTATTAAGCTGGCAAAGAGCCTCTTCTTGAGTGAGTTTTGTTAGCTTGTGTCTTTCAAGGAAACACATTTCCTTGCCCATTCATCTAAAGTGGTGGAATTTATTAGTACAAATTGGTTCATAATGTCCCCTTACCATCCTGTCAATGTTTGCAGGATATATGGAGAGGTCCACTCTCATTCCTCCCATCAGTAATTTATGTCTCCTCTCTTTTGGGATCAGTCTGGCTAGAGGTTTATATATTTTGTTGAGCCTATCAATCAGCTCTTGTTTTCACTGATTTTCTCTATTGCTTTCACATCTTATATTTTGTTGACTTATGATTCGTCTATTATTTTTTTCCCTCTGCCTACTTGGAGCTACTGGGAAACAGCAGGAGATGGGAGAAAATGAGAAAAGTGAAGTCCCCCTACCTGGCCATGGCTCCCATTGGGCTTCCTTCTCTGGGCTGCAGTAACTTCTCCTTCTGCTTTACCTTCCGGTCAAAGAGTAGTAAGAACTCCCCACCATCATTAGCCCTGAGATCTTGCATCACCCCTTGCTGCCATTCCTAAACTCTGCCCACATATTTAGAAATGGCCCCTTCATTATGCTCCCTTTGCCCAGCCAGTGTGCTGTTTCTTGCTGGGTCTTGTCTGCAGATACACATTCTTATCACTTATTTCTGAATTTTAACACATTCTTCAAATTTTTAAAAAGACTTGTGGGAAAAGTGTGAACATATTCTTCTCCCATGGATCTGTTGCTGAAGTTAAGCTGGTTTGGTAAAGTCAGTTTGAAATTGTGGGCCTGGAAAGCTGCTGCCTTTATTTTATAAACAGGTCTCATAAAATTGTAGTGATCACTGGGATTATTCTTTGATCTGTGTTGATAATTAAAGATGTTTACCACTTCATATCCTTAGTAAAGTCTTTGTGAACATCAGCTGCATTTGCTTTGTTCGCAGATTGCTAATTGATTCTAAGTTGAGCAAGAAAATTACTCAGAAGGCAGTATTTGCAATAGGGAAAATGCCAGTCATCAAAAAATTCTTCATGTCAATGAGTGGACCTGGTCTCAGGAGACACAAATGGCATTAAAGAGCGGTCCCTACTCTTAAGGAACTTGTAAAGAAGTGAAGAATACATTTGTAAGTAAATAATAATACAAATAAGTCTGTGATGAGAAGTATAATAGAAGCAATAAACAAACACCACGGGGGCACAGAACTTTCCAAGTAAAGTGCTCTTGTCATATGTAGTAGCAAAATAATGCCTCCCAATGACAAAGATTTCTACATCCTAACTCCAAGAACTGGCGAATACATTACCTTACAAGACAAAAAGGAATCAAAGTTGCAGGAATTAATGTTGCCAATCAGCTGACCTTAAGGAAGAGAGATGGTCTTGAATTATCTGGGTGGGCCTCATATAATCACAGGGGTTCTTTAACACTGAAGAAGGCATAAGAAAAGAGCCAGAGGGAGATGACTCTGGAAGCATGATCAGAGAGAAGCAACGTTGCTAGATCTGAAGATGAAGGAAGGGGCCATGGCCTAAGGAATTTAATGGCCTCTAAAGCATGGAAAAGATAAGAAAATGAAGTCTCCCCTAGATCCTCCAGAAAGGGAGCAGCCCTGCTGACAGCTTTAGCCCCATGAGAACCATGTGAGGCTTCTCACTTACTGAACCATAGGGTGACACACGTGTGTGATCATAAGCCATCATATCACACTTGTTACGCAGCAATTTGAAACCGATACACATTATCTGGGAAGGAGAGAAAAAGTCCCTGCGGGCAAGTAGACTAGGGAAAGGAAAGGCGGGGGTGACAGAGGCTTCCCTGTGGAAAAACAACTGAGAGCCAGATGTGGGCCTGGGTCAGATTTGAGAGTGCCTTAAGAACCACACCCGGGCTTAGCCTTTACTTTTTAAAACAGAAAAAGAGTGAGTGAAGTTTTGAGCACAGCCGCAACATTCTTTGTTTTGTCTTTTAAAAAGACAATGGTATTAAGTCTGGAGCAGACTTTTGGGAGTAATTAAGAGAGACAGACTCTTCTGTTTTACCTAAGTGATGTCTTCACATGGAGGCTTTCACATGCTGTTTGAATCCCTGAATGAAGGACCTATGCATATTTGCACGTGGAGCCATGTGGTGTAGACTCCCTCTGTCTCCCGTGTTTGCTCATAAGGCTTGCGCTTGCTGGAGTGTTGGGGTTGCTGTCTGGCCAGTCAGGCATACTTCATCATCATATCAGCTCAACAACTCACTCCAAAGCCAATTCTTGGTTATTTATTTTAACAACCTGCTCTTGGTTATTTATTTTAACAACAGAATTACCTCTGTCTCTAGTTTCTGTCATTAGTGTAAATAAGCATAGACGGCATGATTGACTACATTGATTGTGGAAGAATTGGCTATTAAAATAGCAAAATATAAAAGAAAGATGAAACTAAATCTCTACCCTCTCCTCCTCCTCCTAGATGTGCAAATTCTAAAACCAGGTTCTTACTCCAAATATTCAAGCCATGGGGCTCCACGTTCTAGGATAAGTGAGGTTTGGAAAACGCTGGTTAAGAAAGGTATTTAACTGGGGATCTCTTATCAGGCAAGTATGCTAACAACCCAAGAAGCTTCTAGGCTTACTTCACAATGGAACCCTTTTGTTCAGAATGTATTTTGAGACGTGTTCCTCCAGATGCAATCTGGGACAGGAGCTGAGGAAGAAAAGCACTCCCCATGGTGCTGGGAGGCCTCATTTTCAGACCTGTTTATGACTCCAAGAAGCTCAGTGACACGAGCGAGAGGCTTTGAGTTCTGTGTCCTCAGTTTCTAGGCTCTGCGAAACAGGTTCGTGGCCCATAATGCTGTGATTCTTTAAAATCTAACAGGAATGAACTTGTTTCACATATTAGTGGATAATCACTAGTATTGACTAATTAGTGATTAGGTTTCTTATCAGATCTTTTTGTAGTCAGTCACATTATTGCTGCATTTAGTTGCTAAGCACTATTATAGCTATTCTAGAACGTAATGCCTAGAATGTGAACCTGGGCTATCTAAAAAGGGAGGGTACCTCGGTGGTGGAAATTAGAGTTTGAGATGCCTTCTTATACAGATGCTAATCCTTCCAGCAAACTCAGGATATCAGAATCGCGGGAAATGTGCCCAAACGACAGTGAGAGACCAGAGTCTTGTGGAGATGAACATACTAAGCTTACATAGCTGGTCAAAGTTTCTGTGTTTAAATCTGCTTATCTAACTAAATTTTGCAACTTTGAATAAAAAATGAATTTTTTTAATAGTCTCTAGACAACTGTTCTAGAATATGGGTTTGGATACACATTGGATGTTGTGAAGGCTCTAATCTGTCCACAAATAAGTAAATTTACAAATAAGTAAAGATAATTGTTGGTGGAAAAAAGAGATCACTAAACCAGAAATGTAAGTTTTCATGATGTCTTGAATTATGTGTGTGTGTATGTCTGTGTATACTCACATATATTTCTGGATTATATATGTATACGTGTAAATATATGTAGGCATATTCAGCAAAACATACTTGAAAAATATATTAAAGTGTTAGGAAGAGGTACGTCTGAAGTGGAATTATAAATCATATTTCTTCTCTTCTTTACTTCCTTGCCTTTCTCACATTACCTAAAGTGAACACATTGTTTTTCAAACCAGGGGAAATAAAGATTTGTTTAAAAACCCAAGTTAAAAAAATCAAGGGTATGTTCCCATATCGATAGTGCATGATTTTTTGACTGACAGCAAACAAACTATCATTGCGTATTGGACAGGAGGGCCTTTGTCTTACGCCTCTTCAATCCACTTACCTATTGAGGCTGTAGAAAACAGGACAGGTCAGCTGGTTACGCATGTACTGTTCTGTTATTTCCGTTGTCTGCATCTCTGAACTTTGATAGGAAAAGTAATTCTGCTGCCCTGAAGTTCACATAATAATTCCATTTTAGGCCAGTTGAATCTTAAAAATAAGTAAAATAATGATCAATAAAATCTGGAAAAATGATTTTAATTCTTGGAGATCTCATTAGATTGGAAATGTGACTTTGTTTAATGTGTCAACTTGACGAGATGATAGTACCCCATATTTAAATTAGATGCAAATCTAGGTATTACTGTGAAGGTATTTTGTAGATGTGGTTAACTTTAAAGATTTCCCTGGCTGTTTTGGGTGAACCTCACCCAATCAGTTGAAGGCTTTGAGAGCAAAACCTGATGTGTCCCAGAGAAGAATTTCTGCATCAAGCCTGCAGCATCAACTCCTTGCTTGAGTTTCCAGCCTGCCAGCCGGTTCTATACATTTTATATTTGTCAATACCCACAACAATGTGAGCCAATTCCGTCAAATAAATATCTCCCTCTCCCTCTTTCTTTGTGGGAGTGGGTGTATGTATAGTAATACATAACATCCAACACCATATTAGTCCATTTTCACACTGCTATAAAGAAATACCCAAGACTGGGTAATTTAGAAAGAAAAGAGATTTAATTGACTCATAGTTCCCTATGGCTGGGGAGGCCTCAGGACACTTATAATCATGGCAGAAGGGAAGGCAGGCACCTTCTTCACAATGCAGCAGGAGAGAGAGTATGTGAAGGAGGAACTGTCAGACATGTATAGAATCATCAGTGCTCATGAGAACTCACTTATTATCACGAGAACAGCAGGGCAAAAATCGGCCCCATGATCTAATCACCTCTTTCCCTCCACATGTGGGGATTACAGGTCCCTCCCTTGGCAAGTGAGGATTATCTTTTGAGATGAAATTTGAATGGGGACACAGAGCCAAATGATACCAAACACACAACATTTATAACATTATATAACATATAAACTATTTAGTAAGATTTTTACATATGTTATATACATGTACATAGATATCTATGTATATTACTGATTGAATCTGTTTTTCTGAGAACCCTGACTGATACTTACTTTGGTACTGGGAAGTTGGGTTCTACTGTAGCAAATTTCTAAAAATGTGGAAGTGGCTTTGAAATTGGAAGAAATTTCAGGTATACACTTTTAAAAGCCTAAAGAGACTTGGAAGAAGTATGGATATTAAAGGCAATTTTGGGGATAAAAAAATTACCTGTTCGGTACAATGTGCACTATTTGCGTAATGGGTACACTGAAAGCCCAGACGTTACCACTGTGTAATATATCCATCCATGTAGAAAGAAGAGCCCTTGTACCCCTAAGTCCATTTAAAAAGCAAATACAGGCAATTTTGATGAGGTCACAGAAGGAGGGGAAGAGAATAGTGGAGAAAATTTCCATTGCCTTGGACACATATCGTCATGATTATCAGAATGCTGCTAGAAACATGAGTGTTAAAGCAGCATGTACCTAGAAGAGAACCTAGAAGAAAATTAGAAGCAAGTTATTGGATGCTGCAGGAAAGGTGCACCTGTTCAAAAATGAGAGAAATTTTGGCTAAATTGTGTTTCATGTTGGATGGAAAGCAGAACTTGGAAGTGATGAACTTGGATATTTAACTGAGGAGACTTCTAAGCAAAGTGTGGCCTGACTTTTTTCTTGAGACTTGTAGTAAAATGGAGGAGGAAAGAGATGCACTGAGGAAGGAACTGTTAGCAATAAGGAACCAGCATTTGATGTTGTGGAAAATTCTCAGCCTGTCCATATTGCCAAACATGCCAAGGGCCAAGGGTGTGGCCAGACAGCCTTCTGTGGAAGAGATTAGGCACGTGATTAGCCATCTCAGCAGATGCCAGGAACAGGGCTGGGGCTGCTCAGAAAAGATCTGTGTGGAACCCTCGTGTCTACCGTCAGGGACCCCTGAAATGCTCAGAAGACCAATGAGATTTTTGACGACGTTGTATCAGCGGAAACTCTGCCAGCTTGGCCTGGCAGGAATGGAGACTGGAAGCAATGAAGAAAGACTGTCAGCCTTCTAGGTCCCACATGTAGGAAAGAGCCTGTCCAGTGGTGCTGGCAGGACCTCTGCTGAGGCATCCACAGTCCAGAGGACAGAGCATGGACCACAGAGGATTAATTAGACCTAGTGGAAATTGCTCTGCTGAGTTCTGAACTCACATGGGACAAGTGACTCTTTTATTCCTTCTCTTTCATCCATTTGGGGATGGAAATGCTTTTCCTATATTTGACCCACCATTGTCTTTTGGAATCAGATAACTTGTTTCCTGATTTCACAGGTGTGTAGATGGAAAGGGATTCTGCCCCATTGTGGCTCAAACACAGTTTCATCCATACCTATTCAGATGATGAGATCAGGGACTTTTTGAGTTGATGGTATTTAGATGATATTTCAGACTGAGAATTGATGCTGGAATGGGTTATGACTTTTGGGGAGGTTGGGATGGTATAAATGTATTTTGCACATGGGACAAACGTGCACTTTTGGGGGCCAGGAGGGAGAATCTACAGGTTCGAGTTGTGTTTGCCCCAAAATTTATGTCTTTCTGGAATCTTATAATGTGACCTTATTTGGGAAACAGAAAATAGGTTTTTTGTTTGTTTCTTTTTTTTTTATCAGAGGTAATTAGTTAAAATGTGGCCATTCTGGCATAGTGGGCCTTAAATCCAGTATGACTGGTGTCCTTATAAGAAGACAGCGACACAGGGAGAAGAGGGCCCTGTGATACTGGATGCAGATTGGAGTGATGCACCCGCAAACCAGGAAGCATCAAGTCACGCTGGCAACACCATGAGAACAGGCAAGGAGAATTCTTCCCTAGCACCTCAGAGGGCAGACAGCCCTTTTACCACTGTGACTTCAGACTTCCAGCTTCTGGAAACTGAGAGCATATGTCTGTGGATGAAGTCACCCGGTCTGTGCTAGTGTGTTACGGCAGCTCAAAGAAACCAACCCAGTGTGCTTTTGCATGTTCCTGAAGTGCAGATCTTGGCTACCAGACAGGAAGAGATAAGAAAAGAAGGAAAGCCCGCCTTTCTCTCTCTGGCCAGGATGGAGTATCTTCTCACCTGGAGAAGGAGAGCTGATCCTTCTGTCGTTACTGCAGTGCTAATGAAAACTGAAATGACAAGAGTGAGAAAATAAGATGGCATGTGGTGGTCGGTCACACACTGTAGGGTTCCTTAGCTAGTGTAAGGAGCTCAGAAACGTGTGATGGCGCTCCCCGGAGAGGGCTGTTCTCTAGATTTTGAGAAAGGCCTGTCTTCTCTGGTCATCTCTAGTTTCAGACCCAGAGAAAAGCCCAGTTCTTGGCTGGTATTTAAGCTCCTAATGTTTGTCATATTGCTTTCTCACTCTTACTGTCTTGATCAAGTTTTCACCCTGTGAGATTCATTCACACATGGGAGGGGTGGGATGGAGCGCTCAGCATTCACAGAACTCAGCCCTACCTCACTCTGCTGGGTCTATGTACTCTTGGCAAAACGCAACTTCCTGTTCAGAGAAAAAGGACTTAAAAAGGCTCGTAAAATGGGCTCCCAAGGCTCCTTGAATAGCAAATAGCTTTTAAAAGACAACACTTTAATGGCCCATGAGTAACTAAGTCAAAAACAGAAGTATTGAATGTCCCTTTAAATGTATATGAGTTTAAAAAGCAAGATGGGAATAAATTTGGCAAAGTTTCTTCTGGATTTTATAGAATTCAAAATGCTTGAAAAATTTTTACCTATCTGCCCACACACAACTGCAAACATTTTATAAACAATGGGAGATAACAAAAACGATACTGTGCAAATCCAAACAGTATGCAGCTTCTGCATTGCTGTGCCTGATGGAAATATTCATCTCTTTTACGAGCTTCTCTCTGTGGATGGAGGATGAAAGACGGGCCTATGAGGCAGGGAGGGGTTAAATGAGGAAGAG